AGCAAGCTGGCAGCTCCTTGTAGGAAAGTCTCTTCCATAGTCCCATTTTCAGACCCAAATTCATCATAACACTTCAGCACAATTAGGCAAGCTGCTTAGTTGCTCCAAATACCCATCTCTCTTTACAAAATATCACCAGAGACTGTCAAAGCAGCACAGAAGTCTCCAGCACTCTCCTCTGTGAATGTCATTCTGGACAGAGGCTTGCCATTGTGTTAATTACATTAGCTGGCTCAGGACAACATAATCTCACCTGATTAACACTGTTCCTTCCTCTTCTGTTCCTCCCTTCAGGTCCTCTGCCTGAACCTTTTTGTTCTTCTTTCATTCACTCAGTCATTTATCCTTGCAAGAAATAGTTACCGAACATTTCCTATATGCTAGGCACTGTGCCAAGTGCTGGGTATATATCAGTAACAAGCCAGGTAAAGCTCTTCCCTTGTAGATTTCCTTAGCCTTCATCTTAGTTGGAATTTAAAAAAAAAGTGGGAAGATCCTTTAGCCAAAATTAGGGTACCTGTATTCTTATCCCAACTCTGCTAAATTTCCTCTTCAGTATATAAAAGAGTGGAACAGGAACAGTAAGAATCTCACATGGAATTTTTTTCAGTAGCTCCTAACTAGTCTGCAGCTTTCATTTTGCTTCTCTCCTCCCTGCACATTTATTCTAAACACAGCAGCCAAACTAGCCTTGTTAAAATGTTGTCAGATATTGTTACTGCTTTGCTCAAAACCTTCCAGTGGGTCTCACTCAAAATACAACTCAAAGTCCTTACTATGCCTTGGAGGTAGAATACAATCTAGTCCCTAACTACTTTCTAAACTCTTTTCAGGCACCCTCTCCTTCACTCATTTCACCCAGGCACACTGGCCTCCTTGCTGTTTCTTGCACACTCTAAGCATACTCCCCGCTCAGGGCCTTTGAATTTGCCTTTCTGATTCCTGGAAAGCTCCTTCTCCCCTCCCTGAAGTTCACAGGGCTCATTTCCTCACTTTCTTCAGGCATTTTTTCAAAGTTCTCCTTTTCAGAAGGTGTTCCCTGATCTGCCATGCCACAGCTGCCATCCTCCAATGCCGCTGCTTAGTCGCTCAGTTGTGTTCAACTTTCTGCAGCCACATGCACTGTAGCCTGCCAGGTTCCTCTGTCCATGGAATATCCCAGGCAAGAATATTGGAGTGGGTTGCCATTTCCTTCTCCAGGGGATCTTGGCCATCCAGGGATCAAATCCACGTCTCCTACATTGCAGGCAGATTCTTTACCACTAACATCACCTGCGAAACCTGATCTGACCACCCTATATAAAAGACCATCTCAGTGATGGTCTCTGACCCTTTACCGTGCTTTTTTCTTTTTAATCCTTATTATTGCCTAATACATCATAATTTACTTATTTATCTTCTGTCTCTATCTGCTAGAAGATATTCTCCCATGGATGAGGGATATTTACCTGTTTTATTCTCTGCTGTATACCCAGTGCCTACAGCAGTGCCTGACATAAAGCAAATGTTCAATAAGTGTTTGTTGAATTAATGAAAGAATCTGTCTCCTCTAGTAATAAAATAAGGTTTCAGCACATGTCATAATTTAGTCATATTTAGAGGGGTTCAAATCTGGCTACTGGGGCCTGTAATGGACAAATCAAGTACTGGACTTAGGCTACAAAGGATGTTCACCAATAGCAATGGACTATCAACTGAAGCCAATCCATTCCATTCCATTAAGAGTTATGTTTCACAGTATGGTAGTCATCCTAAGATTAGACTGGAATGCCATTGCTTCTTTGCAGCTTCTTATGGGGAGAAGAGTGGGCATGACTGTCTTTGTTTGACTTAGGCCAGAGAGGTTTGGTCATTTATCCAATGTCATCCAGGCTTTTTAAAGCTGAGAGAAAATAAAAACAAAAATCCTTGATCATGGAGGTCATGGTTTTTATTTTCAAAAGTGGCATACACAAGACAGGAAGACCTTGGTATACTGTTGAAGGCATAAGAAATATGGGAGGTATGAAGAAAACATGAGAAACTTTTACCACTGTAAATCTGAAGTGACCATATGTCCCAGAGATACAAATTGCTAGTTATCTTATGTATTATTACATCCCCAGTGCTTGGCACATACTCAGGTTATGTGTGCTAGTTAAATAAAAGTAGAAGCCTCACATTAAATAGAAGCCTACTTAGAAAACAGGCAATAATTACTCTCATCTCCTGCAGAGGCCACAGTCTTAGAGCCATTCACACCCATAAACAGCAACACCACACACACACACACACACACACACACACACAGCATCTCTTAAAGGAAAAGAAAAACTAACTGTATACACTGCATCCCCACCTGCCTACAGCTTCCTAGCCAGGTCAGGAGCAAAAACAAAGTTGCCAGCTCACAGTTTATTCAGTACCTCCAGGGGCACAGCAATGACACAGATAGATGCAAACATACATGCCTATGTGGACAGAAACCCATTCACAAACCCAAATGTACAAATACACATATACATTTCACATTCACTTCAGAATTAGGCAGGTGGGGTAAACCAGTTTATATCCCCAGAAATATGTGTGCTTGTTTTTCCCAACCAAACTCACTAGTGGGCACATAAACAAGTATAGAAACACATTCACAAAGATAAAATTTATTTCAAGGTATGACTGTAAGAAGTAAACGAGATTATGTAAGTGCACAACAGTGCCTGGTGCATTGAAGGCATACTAATCAAGGCTAGTGATAGTTAGATAGATAGGAGTAGATAGATAACAGACTGACAGTATCAATTTGTATCAGACTCATGTGACTATTCACCTTCAAAGCAAAGTTTCCTACTAAGTCACTAGTCAGAATTTCATGGAAGTTCTAAACAACTTATCAGTGTTCTGGTGTGGGGGAGCCAATAGAAAAGGAAGTAATGAAGGGTGTGCTGTCACAGCGTGCAAAGTAGGGGGAGAATCCCTGCTGATAGGAGACTAGTGGACAAAGTTTTCCAGACTACTTTGCTCAGAGAAAGCCTGAGCTTGGAGAGAAATAAGCTGTTAAGAACAATTCTAGGGAGAATTTTGGAGGTTATTTTGGAGGCTATTAAGAAGGAATTCCTAAAGCTACTAGGTAAGAGGGAGGGGTTACCTCCTTTCAGTAGGCTGGGAGAGAGAGAGACCCCAGTGTCCCAGCCAGTTCAAATCAGCCAGAAAATCCTGCAGAGGCTATTAATCCACTAAAGTCCGATAGCTTGGAGAAAATCTGATTAACTCCACCTCCCCAGCTGGGCTCTAGAGTGAAATGTATAGCTGGTTTCTGAGATTTAAATAAGCTGGGGAAACAGAGAAGCAGGGGGAAGAAAAAAACAGAGAATGGGAGCAGTAAGTACTGAATACCTGTATTTACAACTTGGCACTACCATTACTTTGTAGCAAACCGCAGCTCTGAGAGGCTCTGTTTCCCAAGCTTATGAATGTAAATGAAACTGTCTCCTGCCCAGTAGAAAGAGGGCATATCTTACAGTGAGGCCAGGACTGCTCCCTCTTGACTGTAAACCACTCAAGGAATTTCTTCTGTCTTTTCCTGCTGCAGTGGTCCTGGGGAGAGAGGGGGTGGGGAATCTTTATAGATCAGACTTCCTTCTGAAACCTCTCCTCCTTTCTTTTTTTTTTTTTTTTCCTGGAGCCAAACCATACTACTTCAGAGCTCTAAAAAAACCTCAGAGATCAAGTTCAATACTTCCCTTTCAAGATGATAAACTGAGCCCAAAGGCACGTCTGAACTGGGACCCGTTGTATTTACTTCACTAACATACAACTACATTCTCTAAAAATAAAGGCAATATTTTGAAAGACCTCGAGAGATTAACTCTATAACCTCCCCCACTCCACCACCAACCTGCAATGGAGAGGGGAGACACGGATCTCATTCAGCACTCTAAGCGTTAAACTCAACCCAGAGTCTAACACGCGATTGGCCAAACACTGGGAAAAGATCTGGTTTTCGCAGCCACGGGCCAATGAGCGCCTCTAGTGGGAGGGTTTGAAGATACTAAGGAGTTTTTCCCCCCTTTTTTTCTCTCCACCTCCTCCCTTCAGCCATCGCCCCCCCCCACCCCCCCACCCCGCCACCACCACCACCAATCCCCCACGCCACCAGTTTGTTAAATTAATGCAGTAAGAAAGTCTGAAGACCTGAAGGAGTCCTGGCCTGAGGAAGATGGGCGAGCTCAGAAAGCCGAGATGCATCTGAAGCCTTGGGCTCCTGAGCCCCGCGGGGTCGCCATGGACCCCGGCAGCCCCTGAAACTTGCCCTGAGCTCTCTCACGTCTGCAGCCCAAGCAATGGGACACTTCTTCTGCAGCGATCGTAACTTATTCGGCGGGGACCAGAGAACAGGGATCGCAAGGCGACAGCAGACGGGTACGCAGGCAGGGTAACGAGATTCCCGGACTCGGTGGTGATGCACCAGCCTGGCACATTCCCCGGGATTTAACTGAAGGCAACACCGTCAATCGCTTCCCCTCGCCCCTAACCCCCTCAGGCCAGCCCAGGGGCATAACGCCCTGATCTCCCTACCCAGGATGCTCGCCCAATCTAGCGGTCTGAGGCCAGCGCTCTGATCTCCACAGATTTTTTTTTTTCCTTTCACGGGGCTGGCCGTTTAAACAGAAAAACAGGGGTAAAAAAGAAAATATACCCACCCCCAAACGTGCCTCCCCAGCGCCGCAGGGAGCCAACAGACACGCTGGAGTTTAACAAACAGCAATACTCTCCGCGCTCCTGAAAAGCAGGGCTGGACGCTCTCCGTGGTGCTGAAACGCTTAGAGGCTGCCTCTGTCCGTGGTACCTAGAGCCCCCTCGCCCCGATTTCCCCTGGGGCTCTCCCTCCGCGCCCCTGTTCCCCACCTCCCCTTAGGATTTGGATTATTTTTTTTTCAGCAGTGCTCGCAGGTTTTGTAAGTGCCAGTTTGAAACATTTTTGCCCCATAACTCGTGGACTACAAAGCACAAGGACCTGAAAAATGTACAGCTTCAATACTCTTCGACTCTACCTTTGGGAGACCATTGTATTCTTCAGGTATGCAATTTTTTACTGACCACATCGCTCTGATGGAAATGGGGGAAAGGACCATGGAGGCTGACTCTGTCCGTGAACCCCTCATTCGGGGGGAGGAGGGTGCTGTATACCGCGGCAATCGGGTCCTTCCATCCCCCGCTCCCTCAGTCCCCCCTGCCCCCCCACCGCCCGCAGGGTGTCTGGCTTGTGCGTGGAGGTCTGAGACAGTGGCCGCCCTGGCAGCTGTTTGCCTGTTTCTTGCGATGTGTTTGTCCTTCTGCCTGCTACACTCCCTGCCCCATCACTCTCCCCCAAACCCCCTGCATATCGACTCTCACTCGGCTGAGGACTTTAAGGGGAAGCTTTAGGAGTTACTCAGTTTAATTAGGACTGCATTCTCTCTAACCGCAGTGCCGAAAACCTCAGCTCTCCCGTCTGGGAGCCAAGTGACAACTAGCGGTGACGGGGAAGGTTGCACTCGAACCCACTGGACATAGAACATATTATTTTCTCTCCTTTTTTGTTGTTGTTTTGTTTTTCTGCGGTGTGGGGGTGGGGGGTTGTTGCTGAGGCTCAGTGATTGGAAACAATAGCGTTATGACCTCAGGTTGTAAAGCTCTGAACGTTGGTGCAGAGGGGAATCTACTCAGGAACAGACTCCGGAACACATTTCTCTTTTGAAACTTTGACTCCCTCCTATCTCCCATTCATCTTTCCAAACTCTGTTTGCTAGCTGCAGATCTTGAACTGATGGACAAATCTCTTTTTTGTTTGTTTGTTTTTTTTTTAATTTATGCCTATCTCCAACTCAGAAATGAGTTCCCTCAGCCACCACCTCCCAGGTTAAAATTTTCTGCCCATAGGCTTAGCATTCTTACATTAGCAGAAGTGAAAAGTGAAAAATCACCTCTTCAGGAAGCATTGAAATAAACAGTCTTTTCGTAAGTGGGTGAATCATGCCATCTTCAGAGATGGTTATGATAAATTCCATTTACATGAATTGAAAAAAATTAGTCTTCTCCCATGACCTGCAGGGATCATTAATCTTCATTTTAGATGTCTGCCTCTCATGTTTTACCATCACATTGGATTGACAGTCACTTGAAAAATCCACTCTAGGTTATTTTTTAAAATAAGTAAACCAACACATATTAGTCTCTCCCATCATAAATCTGCAGCAAATATTTCTTGTTGGATTTTTTTTTCATTTTTACATTATAGTGAACTCTGCATATGAATTGTTGGTTTGATTAATCCAGTAGTTGGTTTATTAAATGAATGACACCTCTCTCCAGATTGTAAGGGTCTACACGTGAGCCTCTCTTCATGTATTTCTCTTGGGATGAAGAAAAGACCTCTCTCCTTCTCTGAGATACCCATCGCTAAAGCTTCTAATCTCCAGTTCAAATAATTATTTGATAGGCCATGGTTCTGCCCATAGCTCAGAATACAAATACTCAAGGAGTCAAATTTAAAAAGTACAACAATCCAGGGCCTTGTGAAATGTAGCTACTTTATGGGCTAAAGGGCAGGAAGTATCCTCTGAACAATACCAAATTCTTTCTCTTCTACATACACAGTAGAAGTGGAAAATGCTGTGGAGGTGGGGTACTTGGTAACATTTGTAGGCGAATTGATTCTGTTTGGCTTTCTGAGACAGAACTGAACCAGAGAGATTAAAGAGCAAATTAATAGGACCAAGCACATCCTCCCTTCCAACTCCTTTTTTTCTTGATGAACAGTATGTAATGCTTGATTTTTCTTCTCCCAGACATTGTCTTTCACAATAGGAAGACAGTCTGAAAGGTTGGCACTGTAGTCATTTAGATAAGGTTAGGATTCCACTGTGTTAATTTTTTAAATCATGGGTGGTGGCTTATCAGGACACATAACTCCACATCCCCTTCCCCTACCTGCGACAAGGCAGACATGAGCTACAATGGATATGGGATATAATGCCATGTGTTTATAAGGAAAGAAGAGTCATAACTATGGAGAGCTGGGAAGGGAATTGTGCTATTGCACTTTCAAAATACAGAAATGGCTATGTTATTTGGGGAATAAAGGTTGTTTTAGAACATGAAACGTAAAATAGGAAATATAAGAACTGAACTAGGGAAATACTCTCAGCAATTTTTCAGAGAGATGAGAAAAATTAAAAGGTCACAAGGAGAGAAAGTACTGTCTATGTCTAATTGGCATTTTCATTTTTTAAAGTTTAGGTGAAAATACAGAAGCGTTAAAATCTGGGGGCTCAAGAGAATGTATGTAGATGCAACTGGAGACTGGTTCTCTAGCAGATTCCATGTGAATAACCCCTTCTCCCCCAGGGGACAGGTACCATGTTGCAATGAGCCAATCCAATCATCCCAGGCACCCAGGTAGTCCTTAGATTAAATGAAGGCCAGCTGCTCACCTTGTTGGGGAAATCTGGGGGCTAGGAAAGGAAAGGCTCTTGATGACAGAAGTGCTGCTGCATCCACACATAACCAGCAAAATGACAACAATGAAAGCAAAACAAACCAACCAACACTCAAAGTGAGTGAGGGAGAAATTTCACAATGCCAACAAAGAGAATGAATTGAGGTCTTAGAAAAAAACTGAGGGGAAAGAGATAAGAGGGTACAGGGAGACACACAGCATTGCAATGCTTACCAATTCTGTCCCTGTAAGTAAAATGAAGTGAGTTGGCTGAAGTTCTTGTCCAGATATTTTAAAAAACCTGCAGTTCTAAAATTCTATGAGTGACATTCAAGTATTCAATAAACTAAATGCTGTCTCTTTGTTTTTAGTTTGGGATGGGCCTTTATATCCAGACTGGTCAAAAGCAATAAGCAAAGATACTTTTTTGTTTTTGTTTTTTTTTTAATGGAAGCATATTCCTTTCAAACCTCTTTTGAAGTAGAAGGAAACTTGGTTTGATTCCCAGAGCCCTTACACTGCCTTATGGCTGGGAAAGGGCTCAGGGTGATCCCCATATTTTCTCACCTTCTGAGTAACTCAAATAGATCCATGGTATATAGTCATGTTTCTCGATCTTGGCACTATTGACATTTTGAACATTTTGGAAAATTCTGTGATATGAAGGCTGAATTATGCATTATAAGATGTTTAACAGTATCTTTGGCATCAATAGCCCTCTCTCCCTTTAGTCATGACAATCAAAAATGTCTCCAGAAGTCTGGGATGGGAGGAGGGCACAAAATTTCCCACAGTTGGGAACCACTGGTATAGAATGACCAAATATTTAACCTAAGACTCTGATGAACCAATTGTAATGAGGAGGAAAGTCCTTTCCTTAAGAAAATGTCCCCCTGGAACACAATAGGCACAAGAGTGAAGCAAACAAAGACCTAGCTTGTGCTTGAGACGGGAATAAAGGCAGAGGAGATAAACCAAGTCTAACCCACGGGTGGTTTTCCCAAAAGATGATCAGCTTTCCTTTATTATCACTTCTGTCTGCCAACCCATAGGTGTTTCCTTGCACAGGGTTTTGTACTGAAAATGGTACTCACTGGCTAAGAAAGGTCATCGAAACCTTGAAGGAAAGCTGTCTCTGCCTCACTGGGGTCAAAAGGAGCATGGTAAACAGATTGCTTCATATATCAGTCCTGAAAAACCACCCAGCTGAAGGCAAATGAGCCTTCTTCTGAAGTGGCTCTTCTGGCTTCCCGTTCTCCAAGCTTGCCAATAGGAGCAAATGACAGCCTGGATCTTTTCCTCCTGGTAGCATAGCTGTATTCCTCCTCAAATCTGACCTGCTGCATTTGGGGCACTGCAGAAAGTGTCTAGGAACTTCTGGAGTGAGCCAAGGACTTTTTCCCAAGGAAAGATGCCCCTTGGGCAACTTTGCATTAGGGCCAACCAAAATGTCAGTCTACCCTCTTTGAGGACTCAGGAAGCTTGAGGAAGAGAAAATGTCATGTTTTTCGTTCCTGAGGGACATTTTGGAGAAGAACACCAACCTGGTAAACGGAGTCATGAATCAGCATATAACTTCTGCATACTTACAAAACTGGGAATGACCTATCAGGGGAAACGGAGGGAATTTATCTTTGAGACCACCTCATGAAAGAGGCCGCGACCATGCAGAGCCGTGGAAACAGCAGTTAGGCTACTATTTGAAAGCCTTCCTTGGAGAGTTTGGCTCTTCTCTTATTCTGCAGCACGGCTCTGATGAATCTCTTTCCTTCATGGGGACTCAGTTCTCTGACCAATCCACTCAAACAACTAACTCCGACACCTCTAACATACCTCCCAACTCACATAAGGTCTTCATAAAAGACAGAGGTCCATTCCCACAAAGGCTCAAGCTGACTTTACCTCAGGGATAATACTGCCTTCTTTTCTATACCAGGCATTTATTTATCTTGTGTTAACGTGCCTAGTCCAAAACTAGGCACTCTGCAGGGGAGACGGAGGTAATAGATGCCCCAGTCCCTGTCCTTGCAGAAAGGAGAGACACTGCTCCTTTTAAAGTTCCATTAAATACCTTTTTCCTTCATCAGAGGGCCCGCAGAGCTCCCCTCCAGACAGTCTGTGCATGCGGCCTGCGACAGCATCACATTTATGTGGGCGTCATTAACTTTATTTCCTTCATCAGCTGGCAGAAGCCAGAATGATTTTTAAGATGGATGGCACTGTCTCCTGCCTGGCCATCTTGACACTATTCTGCAGGTTCTCTGATGCTTTAGGCAACGTGGCCTTGGCCCCAAGGGTAGAAGATCCAGGATCCAGAATTTAGCTAGTGGCATGCCCTTGAGAGGTTTTCCTGACCTTTCCAGCCTCAGTTTCCCCAGTTATAAAATAAAGGGAACTGACAAATCACTGTCTCTAAAATTAATTTTCTCTGTCCCAGTCAATGATTATCACCTCCCGATCTCCTTCACAATAGAACAGTTTTGAATAATTCTTCAATTACTATAAGAATTATCTTCAGGCTCAAAGGTCTAAAAAGAATTGAGGACCATAATAAATAACCTCACTCCCTGGAAAGTTATCCCAATCTGGACATGATTATT